CGGTGGTTACGGCCAATCTGTGACTCACTCTCTGATGTGGATGACGTTATTTTGCAACACGTTATGAGTTTAATTCGAGCAGCACGTCGACCAATCAAAAAAGGCGCTATTTCGGAATAGGGGACCCACTTTGATCATTCTAAAAACCACTTTTGCTGGGGTAATTTTGCGCGGTCGTTCCGAAAAACGGTACCCCATCCCGTAAAACGTACATTTTCACCATAATATTTGATCTTTATAGGATCGCTATGGTACATAGGGCGGGCGGACTTGGCTTCAAAAGTACATTTGCGAGGCAATTCCCTTGGGTGAATATGTTTTGGCTTGAGTCTAGGCTTTATGGCAACGCCCACATACGCTAAGCTGAAGCTTCCGTAAAAAAACAGCCTAGGATCCCCCTTACGTTACAGGAGCTTGGAAAAGTCGCCCATATAGGCCTAACTTACAGGTAGACTCTACGCGAGGTGGGTTCGTCTGGATGACCGAGATTTGGTCTCAATCAAGCTAGTTCATCAGTCGGTCTTAGTTGGCTTTTAAAGTTTAGAGGTTGCAAAACGGAGCCATCAGTGTATTTTGGCCAAAAGTCAGGCACGCACACTTAGATTCCCTAGCAGTTCATTAGACTTACAAAAATTTTTATGTTGAAGGCTAGGGTTTACACGTTGGTATGGTGTTTTTCGCAACCAGCACGCAAAACTATCCAAGAAAACATGCCGCAAACCCTAGATTTGATAAAATCCAAGTGGGTCCCCTATTCCGAAATAGCGTCCGCAAATTTTCATCCATATTTTCTTTAGTTTTTCGGGGTTTTTGTGGTACCATTTGATAGAGCATCGAAAAATAAACTAGAAGCTTAGTTGTAGCCCAAAAAGGTTATAGCAAAATAAAAAATAACCCATGAAACTGGGGGGGTTCTTTTCGCTAATCTCGCTTTTCTTTCTATTTTCGCTACTTTTTCGATGTTTGGAAAACGTCATTCGATAGAACGTCAAAAATATACTAAGAATCTTGATTTTAGCCCGAAATAATAATAAATTAAAAATGTACGGCAGAAAATGCCGAATTTGCCCCCGGCCAAATCGAACAGTACCAAAGTTTTTCCGTTATAACTTTAAAACCCGCCGGCCGGTCCCTGACCAGTTCCTTGTTCATCGTAAATTGGCTTCCTACCACTGTGCAAATTTTGCAGCTCTTTCGGAGCAACCAGGCTCAATTTTGTGTGTTTTTTTCGGACGGTAGAAGGTCCCAGCTATGGATATGGATTTCCTATCACGGAGCAGGCAAAGTTTATTCAGGAAAAGGAGGGCCGGCTAACAAGGAGCTGAAAAAATACTTTATAACTTGACATTGTCGGGGAAAGGCGGATGGGCAAACCGCTTCGGTGATCCGTAGCCTGGAGTCACGGATTTCCGTATCGCGTCGTCGTATAGTTGTGCAGAGTTTTGATAATTCCAGCCGATCAGCCAAGACGCAGAACACTGAACGAGTTGTTGGGTGCTACAGTGGGCACTAACCCTAAACGAATCAACGTAGAACGTAATATTTTTGCGATCGCGCTTGGTGCTCGTTTTCCAGAATGGTGTCAGAAAGATGCCGTTTGTGTAGAACTGCAAAAATTTTCGGCTCTATCCCAGTAACGTGGACCATGTAAGGAATCGTGGACCATAAATAAAATCGTGGACCATAACCGGAATCGTGGACTTTAAAAAAAAATCGGGGACCTTAAAAAAATTCGTGGACCGGTAGTCAGAATCGTGGACCCTTGGTGAAAATCGGGGACCATAGATTTGGCCGTGGGGGCAAAATTTGGCGGCGTTCAAAATCGTGGACCATAGAATTCCGTCCTGAGCTGAGTTATGGTCCACGGTTCTGAAAATCAGAAAAAAGGCTAAATTGTTCGGAAAAAACTGTGTTTAGCTTCCACAGAGCGGCCAATGTTTGTTTTTCACACCATTTTTTGCGGCATTTCACATTGTAGCAATGGGCTTATCACTAGTTGGTGGTTCGACCATAGATTTAGCGGAGGAATTACCTACATAATGTCGATTTACACAATGCCGATTTTACGGAATGCCGATTTTACAGCCTGCCGATTTTCAGAATGCCGATTTTACACAATGCCGATCCTTAGAATGTCGATTCTTATAATGCCGATTCCTATAATGCCGATTTTGCGTCTGTTTGCAGGGCGCTAAACGTTTGTCCTCCCTCCTTCGATATTGACGCACCCCGATACTTTTTGAAATATCGAAACCCGGATTTTGCTAGGGAATTACCCTGAATCAAGAACCTCGAAAACGTCGTTAAAAATTCAGTCTTCGTTACCTGCCAGGGGAGATTATTTTTATGGGAATTTTATATGATTTTTGTATAGAAAATAAGTTAGAAACTTCGTTAGAACCCCCCGGACTCGATTACGAAAAACTAGGATTCGTGGAAAGAAAAATGCAATGAAAAATGACTCGACAAAAGGACGCACAATCGGCATTCTGTAAAATCGGCATTGTGTAAATCGACATTATGTAGGTAATTCCTCCGCTAAATCTATGGTCGAACCACCAACTAGTGATAAGCCCATTGCTACAATGTGAAATGCCGCAAAAAATGGTGTGAAAAACAAACATTGGCCGCTCTGTGGAAGCTAAACACAGTTTTTTCCGAACAATTTAGCCTTTTTTCTGATTTTCAGAACCGTGGACCATAACTCAGCTCAGGACGGAATTCTATGGTCCACGATTTTGAACGCCGCCAAATTTTGCCCCCACGGCCAAATCTATGGTCCCCGATTTTCACCAAGGGTCCACGATTCTGACTACCGGTCCACGAATTTTTTTAAGGTCCCCGATTTTTTTTTAAAGTCCACGATTCCGGTTATGGTCCACGATTTTATTTATGGTCCACGATTCCTTACATGGTCCACGTTACTGGGATAGAGCCAAATTTTCAGTTCGATCCCGGTAACGAGGCGAGATGATCGGAATTCGGACGCCTTTCACTTACGCGAGCGCACTCCTTCGGCCACCAGCTATAGAGAGCGCACCCCGAAAATTCCACGTAGAAAAATCGTCGCTTCGACGCTTTGTTTTCTCGATTCTGAGTGGATTTTAATTAAGCTTCTTTTAGTTTGCCGCTTACCAGGCGAAGCACGCTTTCGACGATGCGCACGGCGTTCTCACGCATCATCACCGCGTCTAATACGTATTTCTGATGGATTCGGAGTTGCACAAATCGATGGTGTGGCAGAATCTGAAAATGGCATGGTAACAAAAAGCACGTATTTTGTACTTTATTTTAAGTTGTAGAAAGAATATTGAACGAAGTCTAACTTTCGTTCAATATTCTTTGTGTAAACCACAAAATGCTTTTCAAACAACGCAAAACGCATAACGGTTTTTCAACCCTGGTTTATTCAAACCACGTACCGTTGCCAGAAAACAATCGATGTCGCCGCGAGCGAAAGTACGTTGTTCTCCTGGCTTCAGCACACACGTCACCTGCAAGCAGGCCCGTAGCGGAGGCGGAATTTCGGGGGGCAAAATTTTGGCGACCTCCCCCCCGCCGTCGTCACTTTCAAACAGCCCAAAATCGCGGCCAATACAGCGCCGCAGGCGAAAAATTATTGATGCCGCATTGATTACCTGGTAGACATTTCCAGTCGATTCGCTCAAGCCATACGCTCTATGCATATCTTCGATGGATCCTAAAATCCAGTAAAAATCCCGTAAAATTGAGTAAAATTCAAAATCTTAAAGGGCACGGCACCTCTCTTGACAACAAACCGGATAGCCTCAAATGCGAGTGCGATCCCAGCAGCTGCAGCCATTTTCCGCAAAATTTCTGAAAAACTAGCTAACTAGGATTGGTAACACTCCAGATACCCCCGGCCCCCAGCCGGCCCACAACCTTTGTATCTCGGCTCCCTGTTTATCTACAGGTGTGTAAAGTATGCCAAAATTTTCGTCTTGCTTTGGCGAGCATTTTGGCTAACTTGTAAAGATGTAAACCAACAGGAAGCCGGGTTACGAAAGTTGGGGGCCGGCTGGGGGGTATCTGGAGTTCAGCCCTAGGATTTTCTCGGGTAACGTCAAACACGGCGGTTTGGACTTTATTTAGTGTTTTTTCTATGACCAGTCCTCAAAGATCGCTAAAAGTTTTGGGTGACCCCCCGCCCAAATCTCGGCTGCCGTACGGGCCTGGTAGTAAGTAATAAGAATTTCTGTAACCCGAAGACCTCATACCAGATCCACATTGACGTTCACAATTCGCGCCGAACTGCTTGCAAACAGCCTCTTGAGTGGAGAATGCCAGTCAGTGACGAAGAGTTTATATTTCCACCAACGCCAATCGATTGGCTCAGTGGCGGCTTGGCTAAAAATAATACCTTATATAATTTTGGCGTGTCTGTAGTTGTGTGTGCAGCTGTCTCTTTCGAAGCCCAATTTGAGGGCCTTCCCGTATAAAGAATGCCCTAATTCTTCCTCACTTCGGGGAATCGACCCGCCGCTATACGTTTTCCATTTACAGAATTTCGATAAAATACAATTTCGCACAGTTTTACACGGCAAGACGGTCCGCAGGACGCCGCTATTTGAGAGTCACATTTCTCATGCAAATGCCGCATTCCAGCGCTCTAGGCCCGCGAAGCGGGGTTTGGGCGCTGATGGCCAAATCCTACTATGTACAAAAAAAATCGTGTCTGTGTGCGTGTGTGTGCATTTGCATGCAATTTCCATCAGCGTGTCCAAAGAACATATCAAGAGGGGAGAGGTTTTAAGGCACGTAAGATACGTCACTATGCGCGTAATGGCCTCGGGATGACTGCACGCCTATCATATTTCGAAAAATAAGTTGTTTTGACAAAATTAAGTTTTTGTTGGAAAAATCGGAGACCCTCTTTGTTAGGAAATAATTAGCTTGCACCGGAAGTGGCTGTAGCCTATATAATCAGGTAGAGAGTAACATTTTTCATTTATTTCGCTCATCGGGATTCGAGAGACGGATGCAGAGTGAAGAATTTCACGGGATCGGCCCGGGCCAGGGTTGAAAAGTCGCGAAGCAGCTTTTCAGCCCTAGTAATGGATAACTACCGGAATTCCGATCATTACGCGGACAGTATCTACGCTAGAACTCATTTAATCGACGAATGTTATGCCGACTTAGGCCGGGTCAAATTTGTACACTGGAGGAGCCTTGGACAGCCTGAAGGATGGGGTATTCGCAAAACATTCAACTCGATCGGAAATAAGGCGGTTAAATCCTGAGGGGGCGGAAGGGGAATTTATGAGACACCCTGTGGAAAAAAAAAAACGAATACCCAGATCCGCTAAAATTTGGTTTACCCACTTGATCCATAAGAAGATGAGCAAAAAACCGCCTGGAGCCGGGTGGCAAACAATGGAAAGCGAGGACTCTCCGGTGTGCTGTCCATCATCCACAGATAGCTGCCACTAAATCGTTGCTTGTGTTAATGAATCCGGCCTTGATGCCGCAATACCGACAAGCCAATTTTCTGACGCGCAAAACACCCCGAAAAATTCGAGCTTTTGGCGCCGGCATCTTTATTGCCGTTATTCTGGCTGGCGGCATGATGAATGTCACCATTTTCAATGCTGAGCGATTGCCAGTCTCAAGAAAGATGTTCTTACTGGGCGGATGGAGGCACGTCTCAGGCGGCGCGGAACCAATTTTTCCCGGATCACGGCGTCGGAAAGCGACTGGAAATCAATATACAGGGTGATACATACCCAAGCATAAGCTTAAGCCTAAACGCTTTCCTGAGTCGTTGTGATGACTGTTTAGGTCCGGGGGTTTTTGTTAGTCCGTAAAATATCCCCGTCCCCGAAATCGAATACAAACCTACCTTGCAAGCCCTTCGTGCTAGCATCTTATCGTAAACGCTCAAATGGATGCATACAAGTCGTTGGCAAAAGATGGGAAGGGACGAGAAGGGGAAACGAGGCATGTTGACAATGAGAACATCGCATCGTGATTACGAATATAGCACCGGGGGCGTGGCTTCAAAATCTGACCTTTTGCAAAGGTCAACACGAAGCACCAATAGCTCGCCTCTATAGTAGTGCCAACTGATGATTATCCCGCGGTGCATTCATTCGGCAGAATTTTCATTTGGGGTATAATTCTCATTTGGCATAATGCTATTTTGCATGATGTTATTTGGCACACGTAAATCCAATCCCGCAGGTGTCTGTGTGCGTCTGTGTTTATGTTTTTATGTGTGTGTGTTAATCAAAAAATGTCCGAAACTCTCAGTTGTCAAACGTATAATCATCAAATCAGGCTACAAGGCAACAAGATAAAACATCACTAGACTATCAGAAAACTAATGTATTTT